GACTGTGAGGAACACCACAGGAACAGGCTCTTGTCAGAGCCAGTATCACCTCATCCAGGACGTAAACCAAACCACACCACAGGATCCTTCTATTTACTCCAACTGGCCTTCAGGCTGTAAAAATAACAATACACGACACAGTGAGAACCTTATTTATACAACTCTGTGCACTGAAGAAGTGGTTCTCATATTATAATAAACCCTCAGTGAACACACGACCCATTTTTTAAATCATCCAGTTTTACCTAAAGATAATCCTGTATATATATATAATATATATGTATATATACATATACATATATACACACAGTATATACATACATATATATATATAACTCAATAAATTACTCTACACTTAAATTGATGACTAATGAAGAGGTTCATTGGTTCTTGTTATTTAGTAACTACTAATTATTGGGAAGTGATTACAGTTAAATGTGATTTATAAACAGGATTTTCTCTGCTTTTTTATAATCAAACCATGATTAATATTTTGTTATAATTATGTGGTTATAAATAATAATATAATTTTTATGACAAGTTGAAGCCTCCCATAAATTGTTTGTGAAGTTCTTCACTGTCTGCCAAATGAGTTGTTTCAGTAGTTTTTTTATTGTACATATTTTAAATATAATTTTATTCAAAGCCTCATACACACAACGAAGATGTTCAAACACATGTTTGTGACTGGAAAAGAAATGTGGCTCAGCAACTACTTGGACTTCACCTAAAATCAGCTCTACATTTCAGACAGATTCGGTTTTCCACTAGGTTGTAATCTGTCATTTGTCCAACAGGAGGCAGCAGTGTCATTTCCTGTCCTGTATTGACCAGACATGACCCTTGTCACTCTGTTCTATCTTTACCTGCAGGATGAAGTGGAAACCAAGAAGCAGAAGACAGACCAGTAGAGGTTGGCCGGGGCCGCCGTGCTGTCTGGAAGACGACGACAACAACAATGACGCCACCCAGTGGACAGACAGCCGCTATCTCCAGCAAACCTCCAACACCTCAGTCCTCCCTTCTTAAACAAGAATACTTTTACAAACAGAATTAGTTTGTATTTTTATTTACATTTTATATTTTTGTAAATACTGTAAGGAGGCTGGCCATTTTGCAACAAAGATCTTTCTGGGTATCAAGTGGTGCTTCGAGGACTTTTAGATCCAATCATCAGCCGTCCCAATTTCAGCCAATCAGAGGCATCCAACCGTCCTTCTCCCCCAAAACCCTCCCAGCTCTCTTTCTTCAATCTTTTATTCCAATAGGGTTCTGCTTAGGGTTTCCTGTAGGGCGTGTGTTGACGTTTAGTGGCATGGGAAAGATAACAGCGCCTCCCAGAGGGCTGAATGTGTAATACTGCTAGTTTGTGTGAGATTCTGAGGCTGTAGTCTCTGCTGTCCGTCTGTCACTGTCTTTTGGTCCGTCTCTCATGGCCACATGTTAACGTTCTTCTGTCTGTGCCGTTTTGTTGAACAATAATAAACAGTTGTTGGATTTTGTTGCTTCGTAGCCGTGTTAGTTTATATACGTGTCAGAGGTCGTGTACAGTAAAACCTGCAGTAAAATGACAGAGGAAAATCAGTCATGTGTGATCTTTTCAACGGGGCATGGTGTTCATTTTTAATATAATTATCCCTATTATTATGATATTATTACTATTATTATGTTTTTCTAGATAACTGATTAATATGTTGTGGTTGAGGATTGTGAAACACAAACTGGCATATTAACTGTTGAGACTCTTCATACTTTTGAAAATTATTCCGCTTGTCAGGTCACTCCTGTCCTGGTTGACAGTTTCAATAAAGTTTGTTCCAAACAACAGCGAGTGTCACTCAGACGTTTTCACTGTCACACTGTACACATCCGGTTTAAAATTAACTATCGAGGAAAAAACATCCAACTAACTAAATGGTTCTAAATAAAATGGATATTATTTTATTTATAATCTCAAAAAGATGAGGAAGACACCCCAGCATTTTAGTGAGGCTATTTGGTTAGTCTGCTCATTCAGATTTCATCCGTATTTGTTGTTTTTTATTTTATTTTGGTAATGTATTATTATTATTATGACTATTTCATTAACGTTGTTTAACTGTTATTGGTATTTTCCGTTTTTACGTTCTGTTTCCTCAAATAGTTAACTCCCTATTTTTCTCTCTCTCTCACTCTCTCCTCTCTTTGTGAGATTGAATTTATAGTTTAATATTTTCAGAATTTGTCAACATATGAGTAAAAATACGTTGGAGAAAAACTAGACGGGACAAAAACATGAGTTTAGGGCTTTTACTTTGGAATGTCAGTCACCGATAACCGGAAGTGCAGGTTTCTCACTGCATTGGCGGCCGGAAAAAGAATTTTAGGTCTGGTTGTGAAGACTAAGAAGGTAAACAAAGCTCAGTCCAGTGTCATCTCCGAAACACGTACTGTAGACAATGTCCCGATTCAGAAGAGACAAAGTGGACTCTATGGCCGGCTTCCGAACGGAGAAACCGGAAGCTCCGGTACCGTACGGTCTTCTGAAAGCAGCGAGGAAGAGTGGGCAACTCAACCTGTCAGGGAGAGGACTGACAGAAGGTAATAAGCTAAGCTAAGAGTAATTTAGCTTAGCTTAATTTATTGTAGCTTCAATTAGCAGAAATAGTTTTGCTCGTGATAAAAGGCATCTTGGTAACATTTTAGAAATAGGCATATTTTGTTTAAATTCAGTCCACTGCAATTCATTCTCAGTGGTAGTGATATGAATTATAATATGAGCTGTTTTATGTATCAATAGTTGTACTCACTATAAAAGCATGTAGAAAATATCTCTTTATAGTACTTTTTTTCTAGAGGTCTTTACTTAATTTCTTAAATGCAGCATCAGGGTTTTGTCAAACCTTCATGGGTGTCAGGCTCATGATCAGTGCGATGTCTTAGAGGTTTTGGGTAAAAAGCAACAAAATGAAAACATTATTAAACCCACCTTTTAGTAACACATTTCTCAGTCCCTCAGAGTGTGTACCGTTTGAACGTGGACACCCCAGAGGAAGCCAATCAGAATGTCTCCTTCGGTGCATCAGACCGCTGGTGGGAACAGACTGACCTTGCCAAACTGCTGCTGTCATCCAATCAGCTGACAGAGTTGTCTGATGACATTAGACTGCTGCCAGGACTCACTACACTGGATGTGAGTGACACCAAATCAATCAGTGAGATTCCTGACTTAACACCTAATCGTCTGAGTATAAATGAAAATCAGTCGACATCAGTGATGATTTTCAGATGACAATGAAAAGAGACGTCATGTGACTTTTCTCTCACAGCTCCATGACAACCAGCTGAGCAACTTACCAAGTGCATTAGGAGAACTGCAGGAACTGCAGCAGCTGAGACTCAGGTAATGATGTTCTATACCCCCGACCCCCACCCACGCACACACACACACACTGCACTACAGCAGTACAGTGTGATGGAGTTGTCATTGAACATAGCTTCATGAAGCAGTGACATATTTCCTGAAAAAAGAAATGGAGAAATGTGTCAAGTTCTTCTTTATGTAAAATCTCTAACCTTCATCAATAGGTTGACAAGAAAGTGTGTATTGAAACATACTTGAGATTGTTATGTGACATCAAGTATTTGCTGTCCCGTGTATTCAGTCATAACCAGCTGACATCACTGCCAGTAGAGGTGTGTGCTTTGAAGAACCTTCGCAGCCTTACGTTACAGAAGAACCTGCTGGAGAACCTGCCAGAAGAACTGGGTGAACTGGAGTGTCTGACAGGTTCGGTGACCAGCACACACACACACACACACAGTGACATTCATAACTTTGTTGTTGTTGTTGTTAATAGAAGTGTCCTGATTGTTGCTCTCATTTAAAGGACGTGTCCAACAACAACATGAAGGACCTTCCATCAGGTCTGGGTCACCTCACCTGTCTGCAGAAACTTAATGTGTCTCACAACAAGCTGACCTGTCTGCCTGACTCTCTGCCCAAGCTCACAAGTAAGAAACCGTTTGTTCATCTGTCATTGATTTTCCCTAACCTGTTATTCTGGGATGTAGAGTAAGGGTTTATTTTTTATTTTTTCAAATCAATCCAAAGTTTAATTCATAGCATTCCTACACATCAGTGTTTCAACATTAAAGTCACAAAGAGTAACTCAATACTTGGGCTAACATTGTAAAATTCAGTCATTTTGTATTTAAATCATGTCTTCAAAGTAAACAAACATAGACATATCAAAGATAAAGGCAGACAAAAAAGTTTTTTTTTTGCTCAGTGTTTCTGTAACTTGGCCCCAGATCGATGCTAGGTCTCCTTACAGACATAAAGACGTAAAATTCAATCCGGGAAGTGAAGATGGGAAAACTCCTCACCAGATGTTAGTCATAAAAAGTAGAAATACTCCTGTTACACACTCTGTGTGGAACACACAGTAAAGCACAAACTGAGTGACTCTTCTCTCTCTTTTTCGGCTGTGACAGAAGTCAAACTCCTGGATTGCAGCAACAACCAGCTGACCCATGTTCCTGCCAGTCTGTCAGAGATGCTCGCTCTGGAGCAGCTCTATCTCAGGCACAACAAGCTCCGTCTCCTACCTCAGCTGCCTGCTCCTGCCCTCAAGGTTGTGACAGCACTTACAGTATTTGGTGTCAGTCACTGTGTACACATTTATTTCAATACTGAAATATTAGGACTAGGAACCTTGAACTCTTTCTACGCTCTTCTGTGGAAGTCAGTAACAGAACAACATCACACATTTGAATTTTACAAAATTATATTGTAGTGTTATGATAATGGAGACATCTTCAAACTTCCTGAAAGATAACTTTGTGTTGTACTACTACGTTTTTGTGTGTCTGCAGGAGTTGTACGTTGGCAACAACCAGATCGATCGGTTGGAGACCGAGCAGCTCTCCAGCCTGGCAGCTGTTTCTCTTCTGGAGCTCAGAGACAATAAGATCAAGTCCCTCCCTGAGCAGATCACTTTACTGAACACACTCACACGGCTGGACCTGACCAACAACAACGTTTCCACGTATGTCATCAGATAGGACTCCATGTCCCTGCAGACATCACCTGCACCTAAAAGGCGACTTTCTGTTTTTCTATCACTTTCTGTATCGTGATACTGCAGCATCATGGAAGTGGAAACATGATGGTTGGACAAGAAGAACAGATTCAAACAGTTGGACATGTCCATATAAAAAAACAGCTAAAAACAAATAATAATAATAGTTATTATTATTATCAACATGTTTTTTCTGCTGTGACCTTTGGTCTTTGTCTCCGTCAGTCTTCCGGCCACTCTCAGCCTCCTCCCTAACCTGAAAGTTCTGTTGTTGGAGGGAAACCCACTGAGAGGAATCAGGAGAGACCTGCTGGCTGTAGGGGCCACACACACACTAAAACAAATACAATAGGTCCATAACACCAGTGTTCTTCACACTGTCTGTTTGTCACTCTCACAGAAAGGAACCAATGAGCTGCTGAAATATCTGAGGGGGAGAATTCAAGGTGAGGTTCACTGACTGTAGGAAGACACGAAGTGTTGATGTCTGAACGTGTCCTTCAGTGTCTGTTACACTAGTCTTGGTCTTGTGTGGTTTTGTGTTGTTGTCGTGTTCTTCAGAGGAACCTGAACAAGTGGACAACAGACCCACGGCCATGACGTTACCCAGTCAATCCAACGTCAACGTCCACAACATCAAAACACTCAAGTTATTGGAGTACACGTGAGTCACAGACCAGAGTGGGATGTCGGCACGCACACACACAAACGCAATGAGCCTTAAACTGAACATTTGTCCTTATGGGGACAAGTTTCACAAAAGAGTCAGAGGGAATTTTGAGGATCCATGTTTGATTAGTTATTACAGTAGGATTCGAATTAGGGTTAGATTAGAGTCGGCGTGAGGATGATTGGATGTGATGTGGACGTTCACGTCTCTCCTTCACACTGTTTCATTTGTGTGTGTGTTTGTTCTCAGTGGGAAACAGGCAGATGTCGTTCCAGATGAAGTTTTCGATGCTGCAGCAGGTCAGAGTGTGGTCACTGTGAACTTCAGCAAGAACCAGCTGACCTCTGTACCCCCCAGGTACTGTACACACACACTCTCACACACACAGGGTGTAGGTGTATTTGTTACTGTTTCTCTGGAGTTCCATCAGTTCTCTAACAGATACAGGTGAGAATAAGAAGAGAACAGTGAAAGCTCACAGCCAATCACCAAACTTTATATGGAGTTCATGGTGCTATAGTAACATTCATCTAGTTAGTTGGCGCTGTTGCTGCCCCCTGCTGGTGTCACCTCCCAGTGCATTACACTTAATCATCCGTGTGACAGTGACAAATGTGTGAAGACTAATGTTTCCCAGAATAACACTGAGTGTGTGTGTGTGTGTGTGTGTGTGTGTGTGTAGACTGGTAGAGTTCCATTCCTCACTGTCAGACATTAACCTGGGATTCAACAAACTCACCTGCTGTTCTCCTGACATCTGCAAACTACTGCAGCTGACACACATCGACCTCAGGTATACACACACACTCACATACAGTAGAATCATAGAAACACCTCAACTAAATACCAAACATTAGCTGTAACCAAAGCCCATTCCTAACTGTGACCTTTTAACCTTTGACCTTGTCTGTGACGATTGTAAACATTGAATCATGTGACGTTTGTTTTTGTTTCCAATCATAGATTAAGACTTGAAATAGAGTAATGAAAACATAAATTGGTGAGAAATGTTATGATTTAACTGTTGAGAACTTTGTAAATAAATGTTTTTTACTAATGATGAAGTTCTGTTGTTAAAGTAAAAATGGAACCTTAAAAACAACAATCCAACAGTTGGGATACAAAGTGTGACAAATAACCTGATGTAGTTCTTTCCTTTCCTCACCTTCTCCCTCTTAGGAATAACCAGCTGAGTGATTTACCCTCTGACCTGAAGACCTTAACTAAACTACGATCCATTATCCTGAATTATAACAGGTAACTAACTACCACTCTGTCCTTCAGCCTCTGTCCTCCCACCAACACATCTGCCCCTGTTCCACTTTGGACTCCCAGATTAGTATGTGAAAACACATTCACGCTGTTTCACCCCACGTTTTCAGTCGATCAGTCTACAGTAGACTGATTAAAAATCGAACAGCTCCCCCACCAGTCTCCGTCTTCACCACAGGTTTAAGTCCTTCCCCGAGGTCCTCTACCAGCTGGTTTCGTTGGAGACGGTGTTGCTTGGTAACAACCAGGTTGGCGGCGTGGACCCGAGCCATCTGGTGAAGATGGTTAATCTGTCTACGCTGGACTTGTCAAACAACGACTTGCTCAACGTCCCTCCTGAACTTGGTCTCTGCAGCAGCCTCAGGTTGGACCACAGTTGGAAGGTTTCTTTTAAAATTGCAGACTTTTCCTAGTGTTGGTAATGAGAGGTGACTGTGAGGAACTGAATAAGTTCAAACAGTGTCATGGAAATGTCTGTTAGGTTATTGTTATGTTATTCTGACTTTGAGAGCTGAAGATGACGTCAGATGTCCTGTGGTCCTCAGGTGTCTCAGTCTGGAGGGGAACCCTTTCCGGACCCCCAGAGCAGCAATCGTGGCCAAAGGCACAGACGCAGTCCTAGATTATCTGCGCAGCCGCATACCAACATGAAACTCTCTTCACCAGAACAGCTTCTCACACACTTCTCTGATTTTTTTTTTCAATCAGTTCACATTTCAATTTTTATTGATCTGTTCAAACCAAAGATCAGACACTAGTGTACAGTAATCACTGACAAAAACACTAAATAAAAGTGTGGTGTGCATGATGATTGGTCTTCAGGTGCCACCTGAAAATATCTTGTTAGTTTGTTTGTTTATATTTTCACTTGGACTTCGTCATAAGGACAAATCTGCTTCACCTAAAAAGAATTTTGAATTCATGCAAAGGTATACAAGGTATACAACGCTTTGGATTGTGAAGACCAGCTGCAAACATCGGTCCAGCTGTTTGAGTACAGGTACAAAGAGAGTGGGTTACCGTCAGGAGAGAAGAGGTTCACTCACTCACTCACGTTGATTCCATTGAAAACATGGCCTTCAGTGGTTTCATAAAAGCACAAGTATAAATATTTATGTATTGGTAGATGTTCATACAGCAGTATATATGTACATGTGTGTGTATATATATATACATATATATATACATATATATATTTGTCTAACTGCATATATATGTGTTTATATGTTTATGTGCATATATATGTACTATATATATATAGTTATATGTATAATTATACATACACACAATAGTGCAGAATATGAAAACGTAGGATTTGCAGCTAATACACAGGAAACCTGCTAATGAGTCCAGAGCTGATAAAAGAGCACACACACACACACACCTGGGTGTGTGTGTGTGTGACACATCCTACCTGTGGACTGTGAGCTTTGACCACAGTCATCGTCAGGAGTTTGTGTGTGCGTTGTCCAGTGGTGTCCACACAGCTGAGTGTGTCTTCTTCAGAATGGACGTGTCTCGTTTCCTGCTCTGTGTTTGTGTTTGTCTGCTGTCTGTGAACAGCTGCTCCGCTGGTAAAGGTAGGAGTCATTTACCCTGAATACACCCTGGTATTAATTCCTGCAGTGAAATGCTAATGTGACACCGGTGTGAAAATTACACAGCGTTTATTCAGTCACACTGATGTGTCGGAGAACCTCTGACAGGCAGCAGCACAACGTTCTGTCTGAGAGCCACAGACTGTGACTGTCTCTCTGAGGAAACTTTTCAAACATTAAATGATTCACACAAAGCATAGATTAGTTATGTACTTTTATAGGTGTTTTATTGTGTCCTGTATACAGTATGTCCTTTACTACAGTGATTTTACTGTACATCAAGTACATGAAAAGGGTCTGTATTTAATCTGCTCAGTCTTTGAAAGGGACTGGAACAGAATCACAGAAAACAGGTATAAATCCACAACATGACAGTGTTGGTGGTTGGACTGTAGGGGAACACAGTGAGAACTGATTAAATCTGCTAAAATTAATTTTATTTAATGAAAGCAAACATTCATTTGCATCAGAGGTTTATTTCCTTTGATTTTTTATTATAAATTGACTCATACTGTATGTGATAAATTAAATAAAAAATATTCATAAACATTATCTGTCAAACTCCTGTTGCGTTAAAGAAAATTATGAGTTATTAAACTTTGTGTTTTGTCAGATGTGCACAGAGGCCTTAAAGTGTCAACAGGGTCTCGGTCGGTGACCCTCCAGCCGTGGCTCGTCGGTCTGACGGCTGTGGTCGGTTTCCTCTTCATCGTTTTTATCATCGTTATTGTTAAGAGACTCCTGAGGAAGAACAGGTCAGACACACACATTCACTCTTACACACTGGTGTTTGTATTTTGCGGGACCTTTAAACAGACACATCATATTCCCTGGTCTCCTAATCTGACTGTAATCTAACCCTAATTATAATCCTAACTCCAAACTTAATCTTACTTTTCACATACATAATATTACATAGATACTATTGGAATATTTAACCTTGAACCCTAATCTTCTAATGAGCTGTCATTTCCTGTCTCAGCAGAGATGAATGGGATTATGACCGGACCGTGGACTCTAACAGAGCTGGTGATGATAAACAAACCAGCCTGTGATCAACAGTGTCGTCACCACAGCAGCAGTCACGTACTGAAGGATACTGAGATTAATTTTATTTCATTATAGAATTTTATTTTGAAAAGCCGGTTAATTGATAATATAAACAATGTCCATGTTGTATTAAATGTGACTTTTCATGTTTTTAGTTCGTTGTCTTTTTTTCAAGTGGTTCGTGATTATTTAAAAAAAAAAACTTGAAACAAACGGATTAATTTCCTTTAAATAATGTATCACCACCAGAGGGAGCCCTAACACAGTAATCAACACAGACGAGATTTTTTACTTAAAAAGATTTAAGAGCTGCTCACATAAGGTTCATTCGTTCGTTCAATTGTTCGTTCGTTAATTCGGTCATTTCTTAATCTTATCAACAAACCGTAGTCTTTAACAACAAGCCAAAGGTGACCACAGTGAATCAATAAAACTATTAGTAAGATAACGGAAGAGTAACAAACACAACAATAAAATATAACCAGAGATGAGAAAACTTAAAAAAGATTTAATGTTTATAACAGTCATTCTGAATACAACCATCCACCAACACCAACCAGCTACAGTCACATTCACACCTGCAGTCGTTTTGGTCTAATTGACCAGAACTAGAACCACAGCCGTTCATTTTGTATCATGTGTTTTATTTGTCTTTGAGTGTATTTCCTTTATTTTCCTTATTTAGGATTTATAAAAAGGTGTAGCTTTTTCTTTATTTGTTATTTTACAATTCAAGGCTATATTTCCATCTGTCTTTGTCTTAAAACGTAAAGGAAAACCCCTGAACTCTTTGCTTTAAATGACTTTGCACTTTCCTTTAGTTTCCTATTTAAAGTGGTTGCTTCTTAAATAAGAAATTTGCCTTTAATAAAACTTGGGATGTCAATGGCAACAATGTTTCTGAGCAGAATGTAGTTAATCCACACACACGTCTGTGTCAGCGGTGTTTTCAGAGAGTGTGTTCAGAGATGGCGGCGCAGCCGTGAGGAGGATCAGAACGGACAGGAACAACAGATCTGAAGACCACGGAGTTCTGCTCTGTCATTCAGAGAGTGTGAGGTCTGCATGTGTGTGTGTGTGTCCTGTAATTTTCTCCTTCTACCTCCCGATGTTTCTCAGAGCTCCTGTGTTTAAACCTGATTGGTTGGATGTTTACACCTCAGAGGGAGGTTAATTGGCTCATTAAATGAGGGGGCGGGAGTCTGGAGATGATTGACAGAGCTACTAATTACTACAGCCATGTTTATGTGGATGTATGTGTTTACGTAAGGCGGGAAATTAACTTTTTCCATGAGAATAATTTTTTTGTTCCGATCAAAGTTACAGTCTTTAACTTTAAATGTTATCGGCCAATCACAGGACAGTAACTCTGCTAATTTATTCACGGTCAGGACAAGCAGCTGAGGCTCAAACCAGAGACAATAAATGAGGAATGGAGGTGAGTTAGTGACTTAGCGGTGCGGTTGTTAGTGCCAGATGGCCTGAGTGGAGTTTTTCCCAAATTGTGGATCTCCTGGGATTTCCCCACACAACCATCTCCTGGGTGAACAGAGAAGGTTCGGAGAAGAGAAGAACAGATGGACTCCAGTTTAAACACCAACACGAAGCAGTTTTCGCTCTGCTCTCTTACCTGAATATAAGTCATGTCACGGTACATACGCACGTAAATATCAATTTAAAATCTTCTTTAAACGTACTACAGTGGATGAAATTCACTGTTTTATACATTTTAGTTGTTTTTTAAAAAGTCCAACTTATAAAATCACATTCTGTGACGTAGAGATTACATTTTTGTTATAGTTACCAATGTTTTTTAGGAATCAATGATTTTTCACTATAGTGTTGAAAACAGTCTTCCATAGTTTTCTTATAAGAGGGGAAACTGCTCCAAATGGTTCTTGGGCTTCAGTTCATGTTCTTTTATTATATATAACATATTTGAACAGGGAAGCTAACTAACCTGTTAGCTAGTTAGTTAGCAGTCAGGCTACTGTGGATGTCCATACAAGCAGGAAGTGGAAATGATGACCTATGGAAGCCTGAATAGACATTTTTATTTGAAACTTAATTTTATAAAAAAAAAAAAAAAAACCAATAAATAAACCAAAAAAGTTAAGGACAGTAATAGATAATCCAGTTTGAGTTTGGAGCTGCATTGGCAGCTACGCTCTCTGTCTCTCCATCTCTTTGCTCCTTTACTGGAACAATGAAGAAGAAAGCAGCCATAAATAATGGTGCCAGTTAAAGGCCGTCCTAAAACAGCACAGAGACGTTTGCTGAAGGAGCCTTGACCTTCTCCACACTCTGCTGTGGTTTCTCAGGCGTGGACTCCTCAGCTGTGAGGCTCTGGTTCTGTGGGCCGACACGGACACTGGTCTAACCACGCTGACTCCACACCCCGAAATATCAGTGGTCCTGGACCGAATGGGTGAGGAACACGACAGCTGTGGATAAAGATATCAGGACTTTTACTGAGATTTTATCTGTCCCAGTCAGGACTCTCGTCAGATCAGGTGACCACATGTGGACACTGTTGTCTATAGTCCAGCCTGGGGTCTGGTACAGGTAGAATATCTCTCCATATTTAATGATATGAATGATATTAATTCATTATTTTTTTCCTTCCTTTTTCCTTTGAATTTCTTTCATAATTTGATAATGTCCTGGACGTTTTTTCCAAGGTTTCCAATTGACTTTTTTGTGAGCGTTTGTGTTTAAATTTAAAATGATTTGTGACAAACCTTTAGACATCTTTAAACTATTGATTTTAACATGTGTGTGGTTAAATCTGATCAATTTTAAGGTTTTTTTCATTTTATTTATTTTAAAGGGCAACAACTGTTTATTTGGATCTTTTGACTCACTTTGTGAGCTGTTTCCAGTCCAAGTCCCCTTAATGTTAGAGTCCAAAGACCACCACACTACGATGACAGACAGAGATCCATGTGATCAGGACAACGTCGGAGCTAAATTAGGTTTTTCTCTTTTAAAGTCAAAAAGACAGATTTAACGTTCTTCACTGAATTCTATTTAATTACCATGAGATCAAATGGAATAAAGAAAGGTCAGAGTTGTTAGGTTTTCAAATGGCCATTGAGTCACAGAGGAGGGACTTACAGGCAGAAATTCTTCTGACCTTATTGGTTATTCTAACCATATACTGTGAAACTCTTGAAATAACATGGTGAGCAGGAGTGGGTTCAGACAGCTGGAGAGAAGCAGTTTGAGTCTGGTCTAATCCGCCTCCGAGGATCCACAGCCCACTCTGTGGAAGCAGGACGGGAAGGACGGATGCACGGATGGATGCAGGGATGGATGCCTGTTGAGTGTTGGTTGGTGGAACACAGAGGCTAAAACCACTGATTGTGAACTGAAAGTTACTCAGTGAAGACACGAGTGGAGGTGGAGCAGGATTTACTGGACTCCAGCCTGGACTCAAAGGAAACTGGGACCAGTCCAAAGTGATGTGGACCTGGAGGACGGAGCTGGACCTGCTGTAGGTGTGGACGCAGTTTGTTTGATGTCGCTTGCTGAGACGCTGTAAATCATCAGTGGGAGACAGTATTGATGGAGGCAGACTGGTGATCTCTGAAGGTTAGACTCAGAGCAAGGTCCACGAGGACTGAGAGCAAAACTGGTTCTGGGTCTGACAGGACGTCTGCGTGGTTCAAAGGTGTTTGTTGTGAGGCAGACTTCCTGTAGACAGGTTTCAGATGTGACCCTAACAACAGCAGCTGTGTTTATGTCATTTACTTTAATGGGAGTGAAACTTTAGGGATCGTGGTTTTATTGAGGTTGGACTTTCTGCTCATAAATTTTGTGGACGTTCCCTTTGGAGGTTCCGCTGAAGAACTTCCTCCTGGTGTCAGGAAGCAGAGCCAAAGAACAACCAACATCTACAAGGACTGAAACCGAAGCCGAGCGGGACAGGAACAGAACCTCTGCAGCGGACTGGACGGATGGAGCGAATATAAATTCTGAAGGGAAACAGATCAGGTCATCGTTTGGATTTCCCACAAAGTTGGAATTCTCTCCATGGCTGTGGAAGTTCTGCTGACATTGTGACGTTTGGACCGTTCTCCTCTGCCGTCAGGTCCATGGCATCTTCATCTGGAGGCTGCAGTGAAACCGTCAGTCCTGTCAAGTGGCAACTGTGTTATAATGTCACGGCCAAGACCTGGTGGATGGTGAGTCGGACTTCACACCTACACACACACACACACACACACACACACACTGCCCTGACTGGTTTATACTGCTTTATTATTTAATTCATTCTGACAGACTGTAAAGTGGGGCCAATACAAACTGTTTATTAATGAATTAAATTAATTTTATTTAATGACATATAAATTAGCTGTATTCCTACAAACTTTCATTTATTTTCTTGGTTTGAACTGAATGTGGCTTCACTCTGTGACCCTTATTTTCAAAGCAGACTTCTGTGTTAATTATTTATTTATGTATTTATTTTTTATAAACTATTCACATTATTTTACTGTTTTTAACTGTAATTTCTCCGACATGATCAGTGTGAAAACAAGTTTTAATGTACTTTTAATGACCCAACAGTCCACAGTTCATGTCCCGCAGCAGCAGAGAAACAAACGTGTCAATATAAATACAAAAATTGTAAAACTTCCATGAATCAGGAAATACACAAAATAACACAATGTTTTTGAAAACATTTATTTATGAAAGTTATTGAATTCATTAGATTCATTAAATAAATAACATATTGATTATTTAGAAAATATTTTTTCCTCAGACAAATGTGATTTTTTTGGTTCATGGTTGGTGATTTGGATAAAACCTCCTTTAAATAATATTTCTCCTTTGGTGAAAACCCATTTGGCACAGCTACTCTGTGATCGTGCCAAGAAATGGGCCACACAATGACCCACATATGACCAGCAGTTTTTCTTTAACTCTTAGTGGCCCACATCTGATGTATTCATGTTGAGACAGATCTGGTAAAACTGAGCTCAGGGTAAAAATCCTCATATTAATTCATTGGCTGTTGTCACTGGATCAATAGATAAAATAAAAGATAAAAGAATGATCAATAATTAAATGAAACACAGTAATACTCTGTAACTCAGTATCAGTCATGATTCAGTTCAGGCCCGACTGCAGTAGAATCTGGGTTTAAAACATTTCCGGCCTCTTCATTAGGAACACGTGTACATTTTTTTATATGTTCTGATGAAGTTCAGAAGATTTCAGTGAAAAATGTTCAGAAACTGTTCTTTTGTTTGTTGTTCCTTTGACCAATGACCATCGACCACCAGACTGAGACCCAGTACTGAGGACTGAACTACAGAATAATACAGAGAATATATATACAGTATATAATTTTTAAATACTGTTTCTACAGGAGATTTTCTTGTTTGTTGAGAAGCAGCTCAGAGATTTTTGTTGTTGTCTGACTCCCGACAACAGCACTCACATCTCATTTAGGTTTAAACAACTCACTGGGTGGCAGATGATGTGTAGGAGGGCAGCGGGCAGCCTCATTTCTGTAATGAGGCTGGGGGGGTGGGGCAGGAGGCTGAGGTGAGGGTGGGCAGTTGGGTCATAGAGAGAGCGAGAGAGAGAGAGAGAGACTGGAAATGAGAAAAAGTCAAAGCATAGAATTTTATCCTCAACTTTCTACTTAAAAGCGTGTGTTTTCTAATGTTCTTGTTGTTGTAGCGTCATATGTCAGAGGTTGAACATCAGGGACTGTTACAAACATGTCCAAATACATGTCAACATATTAAGTTAAACATAAATCCAAATAATAGTTGTTAGGATAAGACTTGATTGACCAGTGTTGACACGTTTCAGATGTTGAAACAATTGTATTTTGAGGAAAACAATTTTCACTCTGACGTAGCTCAGACGTAGACTGTTAGCTTCAAAAACACTGCTAATTCAAGCCTATTATATGTTTTACCTGTAGTGGGCGCCACATTAACATTTAATCAGCATGAACTACCTTGTATGTTAGCACATTGTGCATTGATTGGCTGAGACACACGGGACAAGGAGAACTGTATGCTTTCATACCTCTGGCTGCCGTGTTAGTTAGTGACAGTTTTACAAATGGATTTTTGGAGATTTGAACCTGCAGTCGTCTGATTACACATTCAGTCGTGCTGTGATACAATGTAGAACATGTTCCATGGTCTCAGGTCGGGTCCAAAGAACTGAACTGGACCATGTTTGTCTTCATCTTCACCTGGTTCAGGTTCACAGAGCAGCTGCTGATTAATAATTAGTTCTGGTGAGTTGTGTTTGCAGTAACTCGGGTACAGTATCAGTGCAGGAGCCAGTTTTTAGAAGGACACAAACCTGAATGAAGACTCATTGAAACAATCAGACTGTGTGTGTGTGTGTGTGTGTGTCTGCCCCCTGTGGTTACAGTGGAGCAGACGGACTATTCCCAGTTCACCTTAAAATGATGACATCATTCAGTATGTAGACAGGACAACGTGTTTTTTTTAAAGTACTGCGTATTTTTATCCACTGAGGTGTTGGTACAACTCCTGGGGCGTGAACAGAGGACGGAGACAGGACTGCAGCTGTGGCTTCACTGACCTCCATTTGAATCTGTCCTGATAATAATAGGAAATCAGTGTATTAGTCACAGCTCCATCAAGAGTGAGTCAGATGGGTCGTAAACAAAGACAACATGGACAAGGGTGTAAAATTGACCTTTGAGGTTAAAACAGGTTTAAAAAAAACAGAACAACTGACTGAACTGTGTTTCTGGAAAAAGGGTGTAAAATTGACCTTTGAGGTTATAACAGGTTAAAAAAAAAAACAGAACAACTGACTGAAATGTGATCTGTTCTGTTATTAAAGAGAACAATTTCATTTGGTGATGGGATTTACAGAGTTCTGACAAAGAAATTGGCTTTGGCCACAGTTTGTCTGGAGCTCGTGATTAAATCGTATGTTGAGTTGAGTGTACCGTTACATCCCGACTCACTGAGGTTTCTACAGACGGTAACATGAGTTCAGTCCAACTGTACTTTGGTTCCAGTCTGATGTCGACTCCATGCAGATCAGCTGGTCTGTCGGTGCTGAGTCTGTGGCTTCATCACACCCTCAGTAAAACAGAGGAGAAGGTTAACGGAGCTCTGCTCACTGCAGCCACCTTCTCACTCCTGAGTGTGTAGAGCTGCAGACTGTGTGTGTGTTTGTCCCTGTTTGTGTGTCAAGCGTGTTTGTGTGTGTGTGTGTGTGTAGGTGCAGGCCTCCAGGGGAGAGTTGCTATGCAGATTGAAGGAAGCTGAGTCAGCAACTGCTGCTCCCTTTGTTCTAGGACACACACACACACACACACACACACACAGGTTCTGCTGAGATAGATGATTAGTTAGTGTTTAGTTTTACACTGAGACTCAGGTCTCAGTCGGATGAACCTGTTTCTCCTTGTTAGTGTGCAGACTCTCACTCTGTTTCTTTCATTCATCATTTCTTTGCTCTCTGTTCACCTTTACATTCAACAACTTTTTCCTGTTCTTATTTCTGAACGTAGCCAAGACGACCGACTGAGATATGGGTCAAATAAAAGACACTGGAGGGGCGGTTAGTCCTTCGGCCTAACAGCAAGAACGTCACCTGTTTGAGCTCAGATGGTACCTGCTGGTTTTTCTGTTTGGACTTCACCAGGTTCTAAAGAACATGCAAATTATTTGAATTAATAATTAATAAATTAATAATTAAGTCCTATATTGGTCCTACAATAGGGAAATTTACAGTGAGTCTTTGTAGCTGGTACACGCTGCCACAGTTAGGCGCCAAACAGTGACAGAAAGAGCCTAACATTTCAAATGAAATATTTATTTTGTGACTAGAATCATCTCCAGTTTGACACCTTCACAGCTCAGCATCCATACTGCCCTCAGCTCTAGGTTAAATACTGGAAGTCCTATGAACTGCTGTTCTCATCAAAAAATAATTAAAAATGACAAATGAGTGTGATTTCACCACTGTAGGACACAATATATGTTAACATTAAAAACATAGAAAAATAACTTTAAATCTGAACCTTCACCTGCGTCTCTGATCTTTGACCTCATTTATTTGATATTTTGGGAACCCATGCTTTAATACAAGCATTAAAACGTGCATTATTTAAACATGTTTGAAGTGAACTACACCTGGTCTAAAAGGGAGGGGTCCAAGACTGAGGAGGACAGGAGAGGACTTGTCTGAGGTAATCCTGCCGTTTACTGCAGTTATTACCTGTGTACACAGTCAGTACTGTAGTAAAGTTTTTATAATCTGACAGCAGTTTGATGTCATTTTAAAGTTATTGTTTCCATCATTAAGAAACTGAAGCACTGTATTTTACTAAAAATGTAGAATAAAAAGTAACAGAAAACTGAAATACTGAATAAATAGTGAATTAAATGTATGGGACGATGTATTAGTACTAGAATATAGTAATATTCTAGTACTTTCAAAACGTGTTTCAAATGTCTAGATCATGAGTGGATGTTCTCACTGTCCAGTTTGGTCTGGTGTGACATCATGACATCGAGGTCCTTGTTATTTCTTTGTTGCATTGCTGCCACCTGCTGGATCTGACCGGGCAGCTCAGTCTCCTTGGCCAAAGTTCGTTGAGAAAAGCTTAGTTTTTAGAGTGAATCAGAGTTTATTCATGAACTGAACTAAATTGAGATTAAATTTAGGTTAACATTAAAAACCCCATCTCATTTTTGGCTGCTACATCTGGAGGTCACCACAGGAGATCAGCTGATGATATCTGAACATACTGCATCTCCTCTAGTCCTACGTCCACAGGTCTTAACCTGACATCTCTGTCTTTTGTCTTTTTTTCATCCACAACGTCAACGTTGTTGGAGCAGCCAAACAACTGACGTCTGACATGGATTTGAACAAAAATGTTGAACTTCCAGTAGTGTTTCCAGTGATTTTCTAGTTTGCCTCCAGTAAGTACCTGTGGAGGAGCAGAGTCATAAATTACCACCATCATCAAAATCCATGAATGGAGGAGAATCGCTGACACCTGCAGGTTACTGTGTCCTAAAATGTGTTTGCTGCTCTATTCTGCTGTGAACAGTCTGTGTGACAGGAAGCTGCGGTCCGTGAGGTGAACACTGTCCTGCACCAAAGTTAGTAGGACAAAATGAAGCTCTTTGAGACAAAGAGAGAACAACGGCTCCACTGCTGCTGTGATGAAAAACTCTAGATGTTCCAGAAGCAGACGGAGACATTTTCAGGTGATCCTGCGGTAAAGTGGCTAAATCTGTTGTCCCTTGTGTCCATACATTGTCCTATCCCAGTTCCACACTGCATAGCAGCAGTTTTTCACCAGGGACCAGGAACTAAATAGGAATACTAAGACTTGGCTTGGATGTTTTTTGTTTTTTGTTTAGTAGCAGGGCTACTCACCTTCAACGGCTTCCATAAATCCCTGGAGATCTAAAATGAAATCACTGGGGAAAAAACAAACAAACAAACTACAAAATCCTGAAGATACAGTCTCAGAAATTATGCTGTCGTTGCAAATAACTTTTCTGTCCACTCCACTACCAAGAAGAATTACTAATGTCAGATCCATCTGCTAACTCAGGTGAGAAGACAGGGTGGATTAGCGCCACCTGCGTGGCATCTAATGAAGTCTGAAAATGATGGTTTAAAGTTTGGATTTTTATGGACTGACGTTGGACGTGGGTCAGTCAAATGAGTAAAATATTTAATACAATAATAATACGATAAGACGCAATTGATCGTGGTCGTTAAATCAATCACGACTAACTGATTAATCGAATTCAAATAACATCGCTTACTATGACAAAAATTAAATTAATTAAAATGAGATTTAATCAACTAAACTCCCTGAGGTGACGGTGTTGAAGACCTCGGTGTTAGGGAACTTCCCTCCTCTTCTTTTTTGTTGTAGAACATTTACAGCGGAGTGCATCAATAGAAGTCAGGTTTAGAGATGATGGAAGGATGGAGGAGGAAGTAGCAGAGTAGAAAGTAGGATGGCTACTGCTGAGAACAGAGGTGGAGGGTGACTGTTGTGTGAATGTAGCACACTCTTCTGTTCCGTTCTGCCGCAGCCTCCCGGGGGGAGGAGGAGGAGGTGGGTGAGGAGTAGGAGCAGGACCAGGAGGGGGAGGAGGAGGAGGTGGGTTGGTGTCGCTGCTGGGATGGGGAAGCTTGACGTGGGACGTTCCTGGTCTGGAGCACCGCGGATTTACTCCAGCTGGCACGGGCACCATGGCAGGAATGAATGGCTCATGGAATGAGCAGGACCGGCGGCAGCGCCTGATGGACAGGCGTTGAGATCAGCTTTAACGGCGGCGGCTCAGCTTCGAAATGGTAGGACCAGTGTTCCGGTTCTGGACCGGAGTGGACTGTAGCTTTATTTTTTACTGTGCCGTTTCCAAAAAGACGCAATGCGAGCAGTTTGATAGATAAGATTAGCTGCGCAGTTGAAAGTGGAGCAGAAAGCGACAGTGTTTTCAACCGTTTGAATGTCATCAATGAACTTGTTTACACTCTGTTTTTCAACAATAGTTTTATTAAGTATCCAAATTATCGACATATAGTCCCATATTTAACGTTTCCCCGTGTGGCGATACCGTAGCTGAATTTCATTCAAAAATTATACTGAACAATATTCATCTTAAACAACGGCGTTTATACACAACGGTCACAACATGATCCCCACTCAGTTATATATTATTATCATCCAAATATTAATTCGGCGCTAACAGCAACACCCAGAACCACCATTCACTAACAGATTTTCCCAACTTTCACAATCATTTGAACCACAGTGTCTACTAGCGTCTTCCGTCTCAAACAGCGCAGGGCGGAAGCCGTGTGCAACCCCGACTAAAAGTTGATATTTGGTGGACACGAGGACATTTTGGACATTTTTATCCATGCCGAATTTTAATAAGTCCACTACAGATAAATATAGGAAAAATTAAGAAGCGAGATGACCAAGTATATGTGTATTAAAGCCAGCAAGAGACGAAATTGTCCATATTTGAAGTGTGAAGTGGAGCAGCGCCGTCTTCCTACCGGGAAGGAACTGCACACACTGATGTTAAAACAGCCTTTATTTCAGGGATACATGTACTTTTAGATCCCCTGCTGACGTGTAGGTGGCGGAGAACACGCACGTTCTGTGGGTGTGATGTGGTGAGAGCGAGAGAGAGAGCGTGTGAGTGCGTGTTTCGGTGAGTGTGTGAAGCCACGGTGAAAGTTTGCGGGTTGCTCGGTCAGGGCAGTGCGGGCAGCGGCAGCAGCAGGCCCCGCTGCCCGCGGCTCCTCTCCGTCAGTCAGGCGGGACGGAGGCAGGCCAACTTCAAGTTCAGGCTCAAGCTTCCTCCTCCCGGTCTGTGTCAGTGTGTGTTTGTTAGTCAGCAGAAAATGGCCGCAGTTGAAGCCAGCGGGTTGAGTGAGAGTGGCAGGCCGACAGGGGGCCTCCTGTGCCGGTGTGCAGCAGCAGTAGCGAGCCGCTGGCTGCAACTGCCGATGGAGACACAGACAGTGAGACACCACCAGCAGCAGCAGCAGTAATAACAGAACCAGTCCTGCTGGAAGGACTGAGCGGAACATCTGAGTTCACGTTGGGAACAAAGCCACTTGACAAAAGTACAGAGACCACAATGGAGAAGAGAGAAGCCAAACATCAGCCTCTCACATCATTTCTGTTCATGACACAGATTCAACTTGACAATAGAGTGGAGGACCTCATCCAGTCCGAGTTCTGATTTATTTTTATCGATATTTCTTCTACTTCATATCCACTGGATACATGTTACTTTTACAACACAAACAAAGCAGAAAACGGTAACAAAAAGTAAAATCAGTCCAGATCCTCTGCTCCATTTCTTCACCCATCCTTTCATTTATTTATTTCTATTTTACAAATTCATCCTTTTCAATGTTTGTGGCTGAGCTTAGGGCCAATCACAGCAGTTGGTGGGTGAGATCAGGGTTGGTCAGTCAACCGCAGGGCCAGAAAAACAGACTGACAGTCATGTCTGCCACATTCATGGTCAACTGAGAGTTGTTGAAGAGTTGGATGAAGTTGGAGTACTTTCAGTAAATACATGTACATACAGACCTGCAAACTCTGTCCATCAGCTTACTGCAGGGCTTCAAACTGGTAATCTTATGCTGGAAGGCAGCAGCAGAGAGCGCTCTTCTGTGTAGCCCTCATTCACTTCATTAAATATATACAGCGGCCTGTGGCGTCCTCGGTGAATAAATAATCCCATTAATGACAATGAGGCGGTGTGTAGGTGTGTGAGTGTGTTTCTCAGAATGGCTTCATTCATGTAGAAAAAGTTTGTCAAATACTGATGACAGCAGCAGTCAGGAGTGAAGAGCTGAACAGAAAAACTTTTCTGCATTTGTGAGATGATGATGTCATTTTTTTTATTTGGATTCATGGAGAAAAGTGCACAGCTCAGCATTTTGCAGTTGAACAATTGCAGTGTACTGTATATTAATATTGAACAATAACCACAGTCACAGAGTATTTGAAAAAAAATAGGTAGTGAATGTAGACACCCTTCTGCAGTGTGGGGGGGGGGTCAGTCTGTAGTAACAACTGTGTTCAGAGGCACGTCTCACATTAATTTGATGATAAAATATGATTTATGACACGTAATGAGTTCAGTATGCAAATAATGAATCCTTTGTGTTTTGGTTGTATATGTACCACGTGTGTGCGACAGAGAGAGAGAGAAGGGGGTGAGGGAGGTTGACCTCATATGCACTCGGCTGTTTGCACAGATGTAGAACTAGTGTGCTGTAATAGTACTTCCTGTGCACAGACTGTAAAACTGTGCTTTAAGAATGAGGTTGTTTACGTCCGTTGATGTCACTCTTATGTCACTGTGTAATAGACGATAAATAAATAAATAAATAAATATGGCTTCTTTTTTGCACACAAAAACAGTTTCACTGTGCGTTGCTTTAGTTCTTTCTGTCACTGACATGTTGACTCACAGTTTGTAATGTCTCTTCATTTTTACAATACATTCAAATTATTATTTTATTATTAATAAACCAGTAAACAGTTTACTTTATCATACGGCACAGATCAAAATAGAAATTTTAATATTACATTTTTACAGAGGCGTGACATGTTTCTAATGAAGAGTTTTCATTATCACTTTTAAATCTAAAAGCAATATTTGACATGTTCTCAAAAGTTCTTCAAATTAATTGTTGACTGAATCAATGAAGTGACACAGGCGTAAAGTCAAACAGCCTGTTGTTTATTTTTCAGAGTTTTGAAATAAAGGAACTGATATTTGGTCTGTCATTTATATAATCTAGACCCAGCTCTAATTCCAGACTAGATTTATTCCGACGGTCAGTTTGGTAACGGTAACTGTAACGGTTTGTGGCAAACATGAATGAACTGTGACGGCGCCATGTTCTAAAGGGTCATGGACAGCCATGATGTCATGTTTATATAAAGAGCAGCTCTGAACAGCTGTTTCCAGAATGAACTCATCTTTAACAGAGAAGTGACTTAACATTTTTATTTTTGGGGGGTGCTTGGGAGGGGGCTGATTGAATGGCCGCAGCTTAAAAAGACCCAAGTGGAAACACTGACGACATATTTTGCTAAGTTCTTATTTACAGTTTACGATTAAAAGAGCAAATGCAGAGGGGGCCCTGCCGCGGGTACAGCCCCGGGACCTCAAAGTCCTCACTCCGCCCCTGCATATACAAACGTGCCAGTGTATACACTGTACGGCATATACTTGTGTGTGTGCTGACCGTGTGTCAGCTGTCAGTGCGGCTCACTTCACCCGGTGGAGTCAGGATCCTCACATGAACCACGCTCCTTCCGCTGCTTTCGCTGCCGCTGCTGCTTCTTTAAGCCCTCGGTCTGGGCTGGGCCGACCTCATAACGTCATTTCACTTTTTTCCTTTTTATTCTTCGCCTCCTCATCGTCGGTCCTCTCTCACCCAGCTCCAGCCTCCCTGCTCCCTCACACCTCCGGCCATGATTACGCACAACTTTCTCTGCGCTTTTCCCCCCGCGGGGCTTTTTTCCGGGACCGCAACTTTTGTGGCGCGTCATCATTTCTGGAGTTAACGCAGGCAGAAGCGGATCTCTCTCCTTCCAGAAAAACACAGCCGGACTTTCTGTGAAGGCAGGAAATGCAGCCTTTTCTCTCCAGTAACCCGCAGGCAGCGGTAGCAGCGGCGGTGCTGAAGTGAAGGAAGCAGAGAGGGAGATAGAAGAGAGGGAGAAAGAGAGGGAGAAAGAGAGGGAGAGAGAACGTGGATGACGACGGCAGTGGAAACAATGAAGGATCTGAGCTCAGGGATGTTTGAGTTCAGGCGGATTGTGCTGCTCTAATCCTGCTGCTGCTCTTTCAAGATGATGTTTTCTCCTCTGTCCCTGGCTCAGGTAAAGACAAAAACCAAATAACAACCGCTGCTGCTCCTTCAGAGGAGTTTTTTTGTTACATTTGCACAGCGGGAGTCCAGGCTCCAGGGCAGTGAAGTCATCCTGCAGCCTGATGACTGATGATCATGTGGATGAAGACACACGTGTGTCTTTTCCATCACTGTCACCCTCAGCTGCAGCAGCTGCAGACACTGTCAGGCTGCACGGCACCAGGTCGCACTG